ATACAAACACGCTCACACATACACACTCAAATAAACACGCATAATACATTACTAAACATCTGCATACCAGCACATGCAGCCAGTCATACACACACAAACACATACAACCACAAACACACGCGCGCACACACACACACACACACACACACACACACACACACACACACACACACACACACACACACACACTCACACACACACATACATACAAACTCACACACGCGTACACCAATAGCTAGTCTCCTCCCACACATATACACATCAGAGCCTAAACTCGTGCTCTCTGACCCAGTCTGTTTGATCGTCTTTGCCATCGACGAGGCTTTGATTCGAAAAGATTCTCTTCAAAAAGGCAAAATTTTTGTGAGTTACGAAAGTGATTTGAAGTGTTCCTACACGTAAGGACCAAAAAGGGACGGCTGGCAGGCAGGTCGTCATCTTATTTACCAGTTGTGTGTGCTTAATTGCGAAATAGTCGCAATGTGTCTTTATAGTTGGGGAAAAAATCAAATATTGGAATGAATGCGTTGGTCATGAATGAATGCTTTAGTCGAGAGAATTGTTGGGAGCCACCTAATTTTTCAGTCCGAAGGGATACAAAACAATAAACTTTTTCTCTAACTTAGCAATACTACATCTAGGTGTCCTTGATTACGTATCTTAGTTTTCCAGTAGATGGACATTGCTTTTCGGACCTCTTTGCTACTATAAAACATTCTGTCTCTTGTAATTCTGTCTGCACTAGTTGTTTTGGTTCCAAGTCAGAATTCTTTGTCTTGTTCCCATCTTCTGTTAGGTGTCCGTCATCTATGAAGTTAGATGATGAAATCTGCATCTTCACCCAAATATTATGATTGTCTGTTCATAAATAAAGTCCATGGTTTCCCCCGTGATTATCATAAAAGCTTCGCTTGGTTCTTTAACGACATATCTGACATATATTTATATTAATAATATACGTTCAACAGCAGACCAGAGACGACGTTGCGGCACATTTCAAATCCTCATATTCAAACCAAAAACACAAATTGGCCTACTTCAGAGCGTACATGGTGTTTGTTGTTCGCTTTTTAAAGTTTTAGATAAAGAAAACAGATTTGAGAAAAAAAACCCTCTCTGAATAACGTCTTTAAGCCTTGTCCGATGATCAGAATACGCGTCCTCAAAACGTTAAACGCTTTTTATTCTTTCTTCTTTATCATTACTTATCAACCTTCTGTTTTGTGTACAGCCATCAAGTGCTGACTGATGGTGACATGTTCTTGTGATGATGCCGTTGTGGGCTCGGTGTGGCTTGCAAGAGAGAGAACACAGACTTGCGACGAGACAGGACGAAACTGATGATAGTGGAGGTGAGGAATTTGTGAACTCCGGCCAAAATAGTGGTGTTGATAAACTCAGAGAGGGCAAGGGTCAGGGTCAGGCTAGTAGGAAAGATGGAAGCGAAGGAGGACGAGGAAAACAGGGTGACGGGTTAGAAGAAGAAAGCGGAAATGCTCAAATTGCTGGAGGAGGAGGAGGGGGAGGAGGATCTTTCGAGGGCATCGTGAGAAACGTTGCCAACTTGCTTTCGGACACTTTCTTGGGATACTTCAGGTCTACACAGAAAACGCCACCTGCACCCTCGTCTCTTTCGCAACTTGATTCGACGGCAACTGCGAACAGCGATGATGAAGAAACGATAACCTCTCTCACATCGTCACCATCATCTTCATCGTTGACGCCTACGGAGAAATCCCAGCATGAGTCTTCTACATTGGCGACTGACCGCAGCCAAGCGGCGGTCTCGGAGTGCTCCGACACTGACGCAGATTCTCTTATTATTCTCGCGGATACAGACAGTATCCAGTCTGGGTCTCTGCAATCGACAGGGAGTAAAGAGCAGGTAAGTTCTTTACCATACATATTTATTTATTGTTTTTATTTAAGTTTTATCACTATCTCTCCCCCCCCCCACCCCACCCCTTTTCGTGCCTCTATTAGACCCCCCTCTTCATCTCTCCTTACCAAACCCTCCTACTGTCATGATAATTGTCGTTGTCATTATCATTGTCATCATTGCCATCTTCATCGTCATCATTGCCTTAAACATCATCATCATTACCATCGTCATCATCATCATTATTATTGTCGTCATCTTCGTCAGGATAAAAAAGGAAAAGCATGAAAAGAGCCTTTGGACAGTTTTCAAATATATTTATATATGTACATTCCGAGAATGCTGAAATATTCTCTTAAATTGCTTGACCGCTTGATGTTGCAGGCCTCCCTATGTGCGTTTCAGAAATAAAACTAGCGTGCGCTGTTCATTAAGAGAGAGAGAAAGGACTCACTTGTCGTCCACATCATTATGATTAGATTCTATTTGATCGACTGAGAAGCACCGGGGCGCCTAATTTCTTGTTCTGTAGATAGACTTGTGAATGAAATCCCAACATTTAGAATCAGAAAAACTAATGAGGGTCCGACACACACACACACACACACACACACACAGACACACACACACACACAGACACACACACACACACAGACACACACACACACACATACA